GAGCTGACTAGCAAAAAAGTAAAAGCCGAGAAGTTTGTATTCAAAGTTAAAAAGCAAACAAACTAGAATTTTTTTTTTAAATGTTTCAACTAAAAGATCTCAGGTGTATCGTCTAAATTCTGCTGATGATTACATTACTGCTCTAACATAACACTTATAATTTCAGTTTCAACTAACTAGAAAATAACTTTTTCTGCTTAGTAGTGATTGTGTCTTTCTCTTCCACTTGATTTGTGTGTATATATATCATATTTAAGGTAACAATGCAATACATTATCATATAATTGATATTAATAATATGACAATATCTGTAGTCAATATTGATCAAATGGGAGGGGGAAATCCTGCACATACCGAGCTAGGGGGAAAAATCATAAAGGCACTTATGTTCATCTACTGAAGTGGTATTCTGGAACTGTGAATAACTTCAAAATAATAATAACAACAACAACAACATTTTATCAAACAAAAAAGAGATTAGATAAAGTTTGATTGATATGTACATACAGTACCGGTCAAAAGTATGGACCCATTCAAATTTTTTAAAATGTTTTTGAAATAAATTTCTTATGCTCATCAAGCCTGCATATATTTGATCAAAAATACAGAACAAATCAGTAATATTTAGCAAGGATATGTTAAATAGATAAAAAGTGATAGTAAAGAGACTTATATTTTTATAAAAGATTAATATTAGTTTTTTTGTAAACAACTTTTTAATAATTAAAAATCCTGAAAAAAGTATCCCAGTTTATAAAATAAACATTAAGCACTGTTTGTAACACTGATAATAAATCAACATATTAGAATGATTTATGTAGGATCATGTGACACAGATCTGACTGGACTGGAGTAATGGCTGATGAAAATTCAGCTTTGCATCACAGAAATATATTTTAAAGTATAGTAAAATAGAAAAACATTATTTTAAATTGTAATAATATTTCACAATATTATTGTTTTTTTCTGTATTTTTGATCAAATAAATCCAGGCTTGATGAGCATAAGAGACTTCTTTCAAAAACATTAAAAATAGTAATGTGTCCTAACTTTTGTACTGTATAAGTAAAAATCTGCCAAATTAAATGTTGAAAATAAATTTTGCCTAGGGCCTTCTAATGTCTAGAACCGGCCCTGTGGTGATGTAAAAAGTGTGAAATCCCATACCCTGGCATCGGCGCCCACTGACGGGCATGTATCCTTTTTGGCACTCGCAGCGGTAAGAGCCCATCGTATTGATACAGCGTCCTCGCTGACAGTTGGAAGCTCGCTCACACTCATTAATATCTAAAGAGATCAAAAATATTCGTACTGATTCACGTATGGTGTGCATTAGTGAATCGTTTCAGCTGTATTAGAAGGGTTACAAAAGATATATGCTCACTATCATTCAAAAGTTCACTAGGTTTTTTCCCCCCAAATAAAATGAATCCGTTTATTGAACAAGGATGCACTAAGTTTATCAAAATGGACATTTATCATGTTAAAGGGATAGTTCACCAAAAAACCCCCAAAATTTTGGTATCATTTACTCAAACTCATTTCGTTCCAAA